ATAGGAATATGACATGGAGATAACCAAAACAAATACCAAACTTTAAATCCTGAATCTTCTAAGAACTTGAAAAATGCAAGGTTATGCAAGTTAGCATTATTGCATACATGTTTTCATGCAGAGAAAGAAATTTATCTTTCATAGCTTAGATCCATACAAATGAATAATTTCAACAACAGGGTTCATTGTGCACAGAATGAACACATAAAGAATGATAGCCTACCACATCAACAATATTTTCAGATGGGGACAGCTTTCCATGGGTGGTCAGCCAATTGATTCTGTGAAGTGAATTAGTTGAAGAGTGTGCCCCAGAATCCACAGAGCTTTTTGCAGATAAAAAAACAAGTAACTTTCCATCTGGGCTGATGAAAGAAAAAACACAGTTCACATATGATCAGCAGGACCCAAGAATGAATACTTGTTAGCTAGAGGTTCACAGGCAACCAATATATGCAACAATTCAAGTCATATTTTTATATTTTATAGACTCCTGATGTGTCCAGCTCTGAGTGTTAACAGGTTACCGAAGATACGGGAAAGTGAAAACACTGACATTCAGGTAATCAAGGGAACAGAACTATAGTAAGACAAATATAAACTAAACATAAATCAGGGAAAGTAACTTGCAGCCTTTGGAGCTCCCATGCACACGTGCAAATTGAAACTTCCACAGAAGAAAAAAATTAAAATTTTTTCGCCGTAAAATTTAGATGCATAATAAGGCAATAAGAAGGCCAATGCATTTATAATGAGTTGCTAAGACTCCTCGTTTACCTAGATATTCATTTAAAAGTCAAAATGAAAGAAACACATGAGACTCAAATGCTAGAAAATGGAAATAGGTACGGAAGATACCTAAATGAGCACTTCAGTCAACTGAAATGAGTTGATATACCTGAACTGAGGAAAGAAGGCACTACTTAAGCTTTTTGTCAGATTGAGAAGAGAGAATTCTTCAATTGAATCATCTCTGAAACGTCACAGAAAGAAAATTATACATTAACTATTTCTTAGCAAAATCAATTCCTAAGTGCAGAAGTATGAAAAGAAAATACAGGAGAATGTTAGCAAACCAGTAACCCACTTGAGTTCAAGTTCTTTTACTCCTGATTTATGAAGTGGAGCCAAAATAGCATATAATGTACAAGGCCTGTTGTAGCAGTATTTTATGCCAAGCTTTCTTTTATCTGCTGACCAGGCAACAAAAACCAAATATTGATCTGAGCTTTCCATGGATGGGGCCCATACAACCTGACCAACACTCAAGGACTTTGGAATTCCTTCAACAGCTCGTACCTCTCCACTGTAAAACATGGGGCAGTTCAAATTTCATCTAACCAAAATTAAACTAAGTCATCTCATAATCAGTGTCTTTTATTAAACAAGAGGAAGTAATGGCAGACCTGTCAATCCTGATGATAAATAATGCAGGCTTCCTTTTTCCCGCATAGGCTTCCCCCCACTCCTCCTCCCAATCACCTCGACCTTTCCAGCTACCACAGTCTTTATCTGTTGAGCCTACTTTGTTATAACCAAGACTGTTAAACGTGGGCCTTGATGAAGATGGTTCCTCAGCAACATAAGCAACAAAACTTTCATCACAATTCCAGGAAATCCCCTCAAACCTAAACCATCAAGAGAGTTTTCAACTCTTAGATGTCCAGCGATAATAGTATATGATGGCATGCTGATCTATAACAAGAACCATGTTCATAGCTGTTGCCACCACAAACATACAAGAAGTTATCTTGCATTTGAATAAAAACTTATGTTATCAAACCAAAATATGTCCCTTAAGTTGGTATTATGAAAAAATTGCTCAAAAAATAATTAGATACCATCCATCAACATATACTGAGCCATGAACAGAGTGAGGGATCAGAACTCTTTCTCCAACTGAGATGGACCCCATATTTCAAATTGGGTGGGAGATTCATTTTCAGATTTCGAACTACAGAAGCTTTGAACCTGATGGAGATGGAATGATAGCCGAGATACCAGTCATCTC